TATATGTAATAGTTTTTAAGTCAGTTTCTTATTGACAGATGTTAAGTTGTTTATGGTGTTTAGTTATTACAGACAATCCCCAGTGTACATCTGGTACATAAATCTCTGTGCATTGGTGCCATTTATAGCTATAGGCAATATTCCTAGAAAGGAAGATGGAACTAAAGAATACATACATTTTAAATTTTGATTGATATTACTAATACACCTTCCTACAACATTGCACCAATGCATATTATTGGCAACAGTGTATAAGAGTTTACATTTCCCTACACTGTTAACAACACTGAGAATTATGTAAATCTGTCTGATATGTTCAAAATTATATCTTGTTTTAATTTGCATTTCCTTAATTAGAAGTAATGTTGAACATCTTCACTTCTATTTGCCATTTGTGTTTCTTTTATTATGCTACATATTTCTATCCTTTGCCTAATTTTCAATTGCATTCATAATTTTTTGATTGATTTGCGAGAATTCTTTCTTAGTCCTCTTTCTTTAGTCCTCCATCATATGCGTTGAAGATTTTTATTTAGTTTGTCTTGTTATTTTTGTTTATGGGGCTTTTTTTCCTGAACATATATAGAAGTTTTGTTTATTTTTAATGAAATCAAGACTGTCTTTTCTATAATGGCTCTGGTTTTTATGATGTTTAGAAAGTCCTCGTTAAAGATTACCCAAAAAAATTTCTCTCACTTTACTCTAGTATTTTTAGCATCATAGCCTTTTAAGATTTATCTACATGGATCAGAGCAGTGGCTTTTAACCTTTTTGTTAACCAGAATAGTAAGAAATAGATTTTATGTTACAATGCAGCTACACGTGCGCACGCGCACACGCACACACAGAGAAACGAAAGATTTAGGAAACATTATTTACCCACACTACATGTGACACCTTGATATTTTCTACTGTTTCATTTAAGAAAAGAAAATACTGGTAGTAATCTGATAATTAGTTTCATAGCCCACTAATGGTTCACAACCCAGTTTGAAAAACACTAGAAGAATTCCATCTCTCACTTAAAAGTTCTTAAAAATTTCTAAATTTTATTTGAAAGTAACTTTATGTATCAGAAAGTTATCTTTAATGAGATTCCTGTAGTTTCTGCTTTTAAATAGGTATTCAAAAATTTTATAAATTCAAGATAGACATGCTTAATTTTAAATAATTTTAACGCAGTTTAAGTTGCCGAATGACATGATAGTTTTCTTCATCATTAAGATTGTATATATACTACACCAAAGCTCTCAAGCTAGGTTTTTTTAAGTTGCTTCATATCAAATGTAGACTGAATACTGTCTTAGTTGAATTTTCTACTGTTCAATAAGTTCTTGTGGCATCATACAGCTATAACTTAAACATGAAAAAGAGTGAAATATACAAAGCCCTCCCAAATTCATTATCAGAGCCAGAAATGGAATTCAGGACTTTAGACCTCACTACCCATGCTGTCTTCATTTTCTTATTTCAAATTAGGTTAGTTAATATGTAATCACAGAAATAAGTTGAAATTTATGTCTACAAATAAAACATAAAATTCCAAGCTCATCATAATTATATTCCAAATCATTTGTGCTTTTTTTTTTTTTTTGAAATTTTAATCCTTAGGAACAGGATCGGGACTTGGCACATTTCTTTTAAAGGTGCTTGAAGATGAATTCCCAGAAGTATACAGATTTGTGACTTCAATTTATCCTTCCAGTGAGGATGATGTCATTACCTCACCTTATAATAGCATCTTGGCAATGAAGGAACTTAATGAGCATGCAGACTGTGTGTTGCCCATTGACAATCAAGTAAGAAATGACGTTGGAACTTATGGACAAATTTTATATGTATTCAATGTATGTGTTGTGCTTTTGTGCTTCTATGAAACATTCTCTTCACTTTTCAGCCTTCTTATCTAAGAGAAAAAATAAGTTTAAATTGTTATTCTTTCTCTTTCTTTCCTAGTAAAATATCACATACGTCCACTGTCCTTAATAGCTTCTCTCCCAATATTTTTTCCTCAAAAGTCTTTATTTGACATCATTAGCAAAATTGACCTTGTGGTGAATTCTGGAAAGTTGGATACAACTGTGAAGCCAAAGAGTCTGGTTATTTCAAGTGCTGGGGCTTTAAAAAAGCAGCAGAAGAAGCCCTTTGATGCAATGAACAATATTGTGGCAAATTTGCTGCTCAACCTAACAAGGTAATTCCATCTAAGGGTAGTCAAAAAACTACTGTGTTTTTGATGATGTTTCAAATTTTTGTAGTAGCATTTTTTAGTTATTCTAAGTTATAGGAGCTTCTTTTGTTTTTGTGGGGGCTTTTTTATTTATTTCTTCTTGTAGTTTCATCTCCTGGAGTGGTAAAGCAGCATTTTAATTTCTATGAATCTAAAGCAGCATTTCCCCAAGTACATTCCGTGGAATATTAACAGGTATCATATGATATAAAAGGTTTTGCAGTAGACACACTTATAAAACATTTGGTTAAACAAAATTAAACATTTTTTTGCTGTTGAATATCTTGACCTTTTAGGCTAGCTAATATATACCTCCTCTTGAGCTGGTCCAAAAGATTTCCATGACTTTGGTATCAGAGATTGCTTTGGCATTTTCATATCCAGATTATAGAGGGTATTAAGCAAACCTTTGAGGAATTTAGTAAAGTTTCTGGAATAATTAATTATTGATCTATATGTGTTTAACTCAAATAATAAACTGTTTTTAATAAGATATTTTATACATGCAATGAACAACTGTAATAGTATGTTGGTCACACTTTAGATAATACAGAAGAATTACTGTAGATGTGTGTTATATTTTAATTATCTTTATACATTATTGTTCATGATACTAAATTTCAGTAATACGGAAAAAAGCACATATTCTGCATTGAAGAAGTATATAGAAGGATTTGAGAAACTGCCTGCTGAATAAATCAAGCTGCATTCTAAGTATATAATTTTTAAATTAAAATTTTTCTCATTGTTTTAATGTTAATTTTTTTAGCTCTGCGAGATTTGAAGGATCCCTTAATATGGACCTTAATGAAATCAGCATGAATTTAGTTCCTTTTCCTCGACTTCATTATCTTGTATCAAGCCTAACTCCTCTATATACACTGGCAGATGTTAATATTCCTCCTCGAAGGTAAGAAGTAAGTTTATTTCAGTTTTTTTGAGAACTTGAATTACTGTAAAACAAATTTTTAAGAGAAAAAAGTTTGCAATAACTGTAGTTATTTCTTTGTATCATTCGTGAGAAGTGATAAAATACAGTTGATGACAGCCATTTTTCCATTAGATGCATACTTCTTAGAAGTGTTTTAAAATGTCAGTGTTAAACTCTTTGAAATTGAATCTAATGATTAAACCTATAGTCTTGTGAAAATAAAGATTTAATATTTATTGACAAAGATAAATGCCTTGAAGTCTGACAACTTAAGTTTGCATCCCAATTCTGTCACTTACTAGCTACAGGACCTTGGGCAGATAACTTAAATTTTTCATCTTAGTTTTTCGCTTATTCGGTAGATTAAATAAGACTGTGTTTTAAAGCTCTTATTACAGCCCAACACCATAGAAGTCTTTCCAATGTAAATCTCTATAGTAGCTATTATATATCATTTCCAGACACTGTTTTTTTAGACTGTGTGTCATTTTTTAGCATAAAGATTACATCAGTTTAACAGAAAATGGTTTTGAAAGACACTCTTAGCATATACAGTTAGGATGAGCTTGAAACGTTCACACTGCATTTACAGTTGACTGAGGGAAAAGGTCCTGACAAACTCTGTAAAGGGAGAGTGTATAAATGAGAAAGTGAACTAAATTAAAGATTTCTTTTTATAAAGTTTTGGCAAGATAACAATTCTATACTTCAGGAATGTCACAAGTGATACTGATAAGGCTTCATTTGAGCAAGTAGCAAATTACCACTTATGCCAACTAATAGGTAGTACTCCTTTTCTACATGGGACCTTAACAAGGCTGTGCAAGGCTTAACGCAGCATGCACAGTGTATAGACCATGGTGATCATTAAATGTCCACTAGGATCAACCCAGCATATTAAATTTTAGTATATTGAAATAGAATATACACCTTTAATGTGAACACATAGAATGCAGATTAGTGCTAAGCTGTTTATTGTACAGTCATGACAACTTAGACTTCTTCGTATTTCAAGTTCTTAAAAAATAAAGATATGGAATTTCTAATTAAGTTCAGCATAATGAAAAAAATGTTGTGACTTGGCCCTTCGATCTGAATATTTCAAAGTCTGCTGAACATCTTGTAATTCTAATGAGTACATTTTGATATAAATAATGCCTATCAACTTTTTGTTAATTTTAATCATAATTTGTGGTGAAAGCTTATTTTTAATTAAAATGTATTCATGAAAATCTGTAGGGAACTTTAAAAATTTTAGACTCTTAAGGAATTTGTCACAATGTTTTTACTATTTTTGTAGGGCGGTTGGTGGGGGCTATTTGCTTCTGCTGTACTTATAGATATTGCAAAGGCTGCCATATTGGCATATGGACACAATCATGTATCCTTGAGTAAATAAAGAATTGTTTTAACGTTATAGTATTAAAAGGCATAGTTTTAAAGGTATCTTCAGTTTCTTATAAGTAGTTTCCAAACAAGTGAGAATTTTTTTTGTTGTGGATTTTGTTAACAAAGGTCAGTTCTTTACCTAGTCCATATTTGCCAAAAGAAAATAAGCAATAAGCATATATAAGTAAAAATAAGTATCCCAATAATTATAGTTTCTTACTAGTTTTTATATTTTATGAGACAAGAAAATAATTAGGAATGATTTTACCTGCTTGTTGTGTAGTGGTTCTTAATCTTTTCTGAGTTTCCATCTCTGATGAAATACCGATACTTTAACTTCATAAAAATGCCCAAAAGCACATACTCACCAGAAGTTTGAACATAATAGCAGAGGATTCATGAATCCCCCAAAACTCACCTGTGCCTTAGGAAGTCCTCTATCCCTCCTTCTGTAGAATAATCAGTATACAATGTCATCTCAATTAGGGCAGGAAATTTTTATTCTGTTCACTGCTATGGCTCTTGCACTTGGAATAGTGCCTGGCACAGAGTAGGCACTGTAAATATCTGATACATAGCACAGATTTCTGCAGCTCTTCCCAGACATTCTGCGGATTCAGCACATAAACCTCTGGCTAGAGTTATCTAAGGAACCTAATCATATTTGCATTGAGTTAAATGGGATTTAGGAACCATATTAAGGGGCCATATTAAGGACCTGGGAGTCTGTGTGTTATTAGATATAAACTTTGTAAGTCACCTTTATCTTCCTCTCTTTAACTGAAGGGTAAAACAATCTTGTATTTGTGTTTTTATCCTTCAGTTAAAAGACTTGTTAAGTCTCCCCATTCAGGAACACTACTACACAGTTTCATCTTTTATAGCAGCAGTCCCCACCCTTTTTGACACCGGGGACCAGTTTCATGGAAGACAATTTTTCCATGAACAGGAGTGAGGGGATGGTTTCAGGTGCTTCAAGTACGTTACATTTATTGTGCACTTCATTTCTATTGTTATTATACAATGAGATAATTACACAACTCACCATAATGCAGAATCTAATGCTGCCTGCTGATCTGACAGCAGGCAGAGCTCAGGTGGTAATGCGGCTATGGGGAGCGGCTGTAAATACAGAGGAAGCTTCGCTCGCTTGCCCACCCGCTCGCTGCTCCCCTGCTCCTGTATGGCCCAGTTCCTAACAGGCCACGGAGCAGTACCGGTCCATGGCTGGGGGTTTAGGGACCACAGTTTTATAGGAGAGCTTCATGTTGTCCTTTCATAGTTTCCTCCTAATTATTCTTAACTAATTTATGATATATTTTACAGAGACAAAGTAATCATCTTAATGTTGTAGGTTTTTAATTAGTTTTGATAGTTCAGATACTATAAAGTAGATGAGCATACTGAATTAAGTAATGATAGAGGTTTCAGAAATCAGTACTACATAGAGCTCACTAATGCTACAGTCAACATTTTGTACCTACCTGAAATCACCAATCTACAGCAGAAGCTTTTTTTCCCCAAAAAAAGATATTACATGATTTCTTCTCTTCCCATATTTATCATGAAGATTGCTTTGAGAAAATGATAGCTGGCTATTTAATACATTTAGAATATGTAATATCTTCTAATATTAATATAATATTTGATGTGAAGTTCATTTACCTATAGATGACTTGTCTTTTCATTTTATAGTTATACATAGAAGAAAGAAATAATATTTTGTATAAACAATGATACTTTCATTGTTCTAGATTGGATCAGATGTTTTCAGATGCCTTTAGTAAAGATCACCAGCTAATTCGGGCAGACCCCAAACATAGTCTTTACCTCGCCTGTGCTCTCATGGTTAGAGGAAATGTACAGATTTCAGATCTTCGCAGAAATATTGAAAGGTTTGGTTTATATTTTTCAAGATAATTTATGTGTACTGCTTGAGACAGTGTAGCAAAGTACTTAAGACTGCCTCTGTTCAAATGCCAGCAATGCTACTTACCACTGAAATGTGACGTTGAGCAAGCTACTTCACCTTTGTGCCTTGTTTTCTTCAAGTGTAAAATAAGAGTAATAATAATACAAAGCTATTATTTGATTGTTAAATGATATATGAGATGTTTTATGAAAGTGTTCATAAAATTATAGCTGATACTGTTGTTTTTTTTTTTTTTTTTTTTTTTTTTTTAGACAGTCTGTTAAACTCTTTGAAATTGAATCAAAGTGTTAAACC